CAGAAATTTCACATACCTCATGATTGAAACTTTTTTCCTTTTCTTCCGACTTTCTGCCACCAAAACAAAAAACACAAAAAACACTCAATTATCATTCAATAACAACTGAAGACTATAAATCAAAGCAATTTTTTATTCCTATTTCATCAATGGCACCTTTTAGATAACTAAAAAAAACAAAAAACAAGAAACCGTTTCTTGTTGATTTTCTAAGCTTTCTCAGGAACCAAACAGAACAAAAGGTGAAAATGGAAGTGATTCTCAACCATATACAAATCTGGCAGTGCAATACACAGATCCTTATGTATGACCACAGTGATTCAATGTTTAGATCAGAGAGAGAGAATGTGTACCTGAGAGAAGAAAACCCTAGATTAGGGTTTGTGATAGCCGATAACTGAGCGATGAAGAGAGAGACTCGTTTGGAGAGAATAGATAAATAACTTCTTCACAAACGCCAACCCTAAACACGTGAGAGTTGCTTTCTCAGACTTGTGGCCCAAACCGGACTGGGCTGGGTTTACTTTTTTGACCACCACAAAAATTCAATTGAGCCTATAGGACCCGTAACTGTGCCCACTTTTAATTGCCTTAGGAAATACTATCAGACCCGAACTGGGCCCAAATTTGACTGGTCAGTTAGTTTTAGATCGGGTTGGGTCGTGTGACCTTTCATCTGTCATCCATTTAAACTTAAGTAGATTGAAAAAAAATCAATCTACATCCGTTTAGTTAAGTCTTGTTTTGGAACAAGCTATTTTAGTTACTTTTTTGTTTTTTACGAAAAGATATGTAAAAAAATAAAGAGAGTAATGTGACAAATTATAATGACTTTTTGACTAAACATATAATTGTCAAACGAGACCTTAGTTAGCGGATGTGGATTGAACAGGCTGTGTAGATTAGCGGGTGAATGTGGATTAACTTGGTAGTTTGAGTTTTATTGTTTTGTACCTTTTTTTCAAACTATGTTCTTGTAATTCTTTACTATTCTGCTCCCAAATTGTTTGATTGTTTATTTTTTATGATAAAAATAAAAGGTTCAACTTTCATAATTTATAAATAGCAAATATAATTATTAAAAAAAAAGGTTTTTTTTTAACACACAAAGCATAAAAATATAAAATTATTTTCTTAGGAGTGTATTAGCGAATCAAATAGAGTCGGGTGGTCTCTCATTCACCGTCCGTCCGAACTTATGTAGATTGGAAAAATCCATCTATATCCATCCACTTAGACTATTGAAATTGTCCACTCCATGACAAATTAATTCAAGACATTCGATTTTGACAGGTCGGATAGATATTTATCTAACCCTAATTAGTTCTACATACTTGTACAACAAATAAATTCTATTATGGATGTATATAGATATATATATATATATATATATTATTGCGATGATAAGTTAAAATATGTAAAATAATAAATAAATAAATCAATAAATGTTAATATTGTAGCCTTTAAAATTAAATATTATACACATACAAGTAAATTTAAGAAATATAGTTAGAGCGGGACAACATATAAATATGATTGGAGCCAAACAATAGTTTCACATCATAGGTGAAGCGAGTCCTAATTGTTTTGCTATGTTTTTTTTTTTCTTTTATTAGAAAACAAAACTTGTCTTGCAAATTATGAAAAATGGTATAGATCCCAAACGAACAAATGTCAGTGTGAGATCCGCACCATGTGAGATATTTGGTTATTTATTTAATAAAAAAATTGATATCTCTAGCATTATCCGCAAATTTTTGACTCTGTTTATTTTCATTTTTCAAAATTCATTTTTCAAAAAATTATGCTTTTTTATTTTATGTATTTTTTTATTTTCATTGAATTTTTTTAATAGTTTAAGTAATTTTTTTAAATTTTTAAACACCCCTAACATAAATACACTTAAAAAGTATAATATTTGTGAGAATAAAAATTTAAAAATTCACTAGTACCAAAATATAAAAATTTAGTACATTTTTTGTATTTTTATTTAATAATTTTTTTAAATATTTTTTTGAATACATCTACGTAAAATACATCCAAAAAAATAAAATATTACTTAAAATTTTAAAAATATTCACTCAAAAACAAAAAAATATTAATTTCCAAAAAATTAAAACCAAACACACTGATTATTATTATTATTTTGGAAAGTTTTTGGCAAACCATTTTCAAAAATTATTTTCAAGAAAAAAATTTCAACCACTTACTTAAAGAAAATATCAAAAATGCCCTTTCAAAATTTCAAAAATTATTTTTGCACTAAACTATAAACAATACAAAAACATCATTTTTTTAATTTTTTGTATTAGTTTTTTGTTAATGAAAACAAACCAAAGAAGTCGGCTAAACAATATGGAAATCTGATTCAAAGTAGGCATGTAAATGGATCAGATTCAGATCAGATATGTCAAAATCGAATCCAATCTGATTAAGACAAATCTGAATCCGATCCAAACCCATTTCTCCCATATCCAATTATAGGTCACCCAAATACGAATCCGATAGTTTCGGATCCCAATATTTTTGTAAACGGATTCGGACTTTTGGGCTTGAATTAAATCCAATCCATGGACGACCCTAGTTCGAAGTAGTACACCCTGCCAGACCCATGACCAACACAGAAGGAAAATGAACTTTCTTCACTTCCACACTCACCCAAACGGCCTCTTATTTCAGAAGAAAATGCTTTCCCCCACTCTAACTCAACTGTACTCTCAGAACATGAACACAAAATACTAGCTAAAAGCAAGTAACAGTCAAATCACAAGAAAATGAAAAATTAAATATGCCTTGATATAAGAAAAAACCAAGCTTCAAATCCAATAATCTAAGTTCTAAATGTTTTGAAATATCAAGATTGGATTGTTCCAATAAAGCAATACTTATTCAAAGATCAATATAAGAAGTTTCATTTTGACTCCAGGAAAAAGACGAGAAAAGGGAGATTGGTAATTCATTCAGCTGGCCTCTGTCCCAAAACTGGAATGTCCTCATACCGCTTCTGCATTATAAAAGTTTACAAACCATGGTAAGATAATTAAACAAACCTAAACAAATGTTGAAACAACAGCAAGCATGATATAGAAGGGAAGGAATCTAACTATTGGCTGAAATTATAGAGGATTCATATAGTTAGCATTCCTTATATATTGCCACCAAGTGCCAAAACTAGACCAACGAACCTTTAAAAAGATTAAAATGCACATAACATGTCATGATCTTCCTATTCTATCTTCATATCAAATCTGATTCATAAAATAACTAAAATTCTTTAACGACTTGAAGTATATCAATATTCTCCCAAGCTAGCAACTAATAACTGTAACAAAGTGATGCAATGCATCCTAATTAATGTAGGGCTAGGAAGAAAATTATAGTTAATGGGCATCATTTTAGTAGAGTTTATTTTTTCGTGTTCTAAAATATTACTGCATTTTAAACTTTTCAGGATTTTTACGAATTGTAGAATAAAATTTGAGCCTACATATGTAGACATATAAAATAGAATGATTCTATGGCAGTTTTTTCATGCCTTAGATTTTCAATTACTCCTATATAAGCAGCATTCCTATTTGGAATGATAAGTCTTAGTGTAAGAGGGCTGCAAGAGGACTCAGTAGCCACCATAACAATCAGTGATTTCATAACTAGAGCAGATCTGAGTCTCAACCCAACTGCCTTCAGTCATGAGTGCGGACTGATATTAAGTTCCTTGCCATCATACAAGTCTCATATCATGTGAAATTGAATGAAGTTACAATGCAAACTGACTCTGTGAAAAACCCATATATTGTCAGGTTGCACAGAACCACGGTTAATAAACATAACATGACTACAACTATCTCTACTATTATATAAAACACACAACTTAGAAGATGGATTGAATCTTTCTAACACTATTTTATTTTCCAATAATGCCCATAAAACAACTGCTAAGCGGTTATAGTAATCCCTAAACAAACTTCAAATTTAACTTATCTTCCTCATTTCAAATTGCGTGAAAGTTTAGATTTAAAAATGCAAAACCATTGCGTTTACACCCACCCCTAGTTGCAATAAAGCAAAGCCTTCAACAATTACTCATAAACGACACCACACTGTTAGAATGGAGGAATTGCAACTTCTCTCGCTCGTTCAAATTGAAACACGTGGTTTCTCATTTGTGCTTATATAAAACAACTTTCTGACCATAACAAACATACAATATAATTATATACATATAATAGCCACCATTAGAATCAAAATAATTCAAATCAAAATGTAACCAGAATGAAATTAACAAGTAAAAAATTCAACAACAGGAGATTTGAAATACCCCAACATTGTTGTACTCCCAGAGCTTATGAACTCCATAGTCCACTGCCTGCAGAAAATAAATAAATTTCACAATTGATTGGCAACAATTCAATTAAATCAAACTCAAAGAACAACATTTTTATGAGCAAATCAGATCAAATTTCCACACAAACAATGATACAACCTTAAACAGATCTCAAAAACCACAAATATTGTAGAAATTCAGATTCAAAATGTCGTGAAGCAAAAACGATCAAGAACGCAAATACATACATACATATATATATACATGTATATGAAAAGGAAGCAGCGGAGATGAGATCGGAACCCTAACCCGTTCGCCGATGAAGGCGCCGGCGATAACGAAAGTGGCGTAGACGGAGGTCCGGCGCATTAACACCTTGTAGAGGCCTTCGAATATTCCTCCTCCGCTTCGTCTCGCTGTTGATTCCATTGCTTCTCTCTCTCTCTCTCTCTCTCTCCTCTGTTTCAGCTCTTAATTGAGGGTTTGTCGAAATGAACCGCTGCAATCAGGTGAGGTGAGGGACACACGTGTTTGGTTCACAGTTGAAACTGAACCGGTTGAATGAACAGTTTCTACCGCCGGTTCAGTTACCTAAGAATATTTAAGGATAAATTACAAATACACATCCTGCAATTTATTTAAAATAGAAATTATCCTATGTAGTTTAAAAAATTATATATATCCCTTTATTAAAATTTTTTATTTAACAGAATTAACTAAAAAAATAAAATTCATAATTGCTCTCCTATGCAATAATAAAATTACCTAAATTATTAATTGAAATATATTTTTAATATTATTAAAAATAGTTAATTGATTGGATGATTTATTAATAAAAATTGAGATTTGTTATGAAATTAAAAACCTCAGTGGGTGGAATATAATTTTCAAAACCATAAGAGGCGATTCGTATTTTAATCAAATCTCAATTTCTATATTTGTAATTTACTCAATATTTAAATTTGGGGTTAGCTTCCCTCCAGTCTAACTGGAGAGTACTATTGGGCTCGTGGGAGCCTATCACAGATCCTGTTTTGATAATCCAAACCAATTGATGTGTAGAATTCGTTGAGCACTATATGTTTGTTAAAATCCACGTTAATCGGATATCGATAGCTACGCGATCAAATCAATTTTGTATATAAAAAAAATATATGGTGAAAAAATAAACGGTTGACAGAAATCTAATTCGATGAGGTAGCTATCGATATCTGATCAATGTAATTTTTTTCAAGCATATAGTACTCGACGAGTTCTACACATTGAACGGTTCAGATTATCGAAATGAGATCCATGATGGATCCCACGAACCCAACAATACCCTATTGTTCATGATCGGACAAGAGGAAAGCCTAAACCTTTAAATTTTGAGTTAAAAACAACAAAGTACACACTTCTCCCCATAATTTAGGATTTGTTTGGAATTTGCTTATTTAGGTTTCGTTTGAGAGGAGGATTAACCCACAAAAGGTTAAGAAGTCAAGATAAGATAAGATATTACATTTAAATAATAATTATTTCACTTTTTTCTCTCGTAACCATCATATGTAAACTAAAAGAAGTCAAAAATTTATTCCAAATGAATTTTTTTTAGCCAAGCTAAATTAGCTCTTTCCAAGCAAAGGTTTTCGAGTGCTTTTTGACTTTTTACAAAAAGAATATATAGAAAAATAGAGAGGTGATATAACTTAAATAAGCACACTTATTTAGTGTATTCCCAAATAACTCCTTAAAATAGAGGGGGAAATGGATGTAATTTGTGAGTGTAATTGAAAAAATTTCATCTATCTCTTTTAAAATTTAGGCTCGCTGTTAGAAGAGAAGCTATTGGTTGATTCAGGGACAGCGTCACAAGACGCTTCATATGTATTGTGATTGGTGGAAATGGTGGAATCCACGTTTTTGTGTTGGGTGATTGAGAAATATGAGAGGATATGAATATTTGTGATTGGTTTAGGACATGACCACGTGGTGCCTCAGGACCAACTAATAATTGTTTGTATAAGAAATAATTCATTTTTGCTAATATCATCATATATAAATTATATAAAATGTGTAATTTACGTTCAAAACATAGATGTACTATGGGGGCAGCTTGTCTCCAGTCCTTAATCGAATTGGATGGTACTGTTTGGGCCGTAGGGGCCCACCATGAGTCCCATTTTGGTAATCGAACCATTCAATGTGTAGAACTCTTCGATTATTATATGCTTGTAAAAAATCACGTTGATCAGATATCAATAGCTATCTCGTCTTATCATTTTTTTGTCAACCATTAATTTGTTCACCGTCCATTTTTTTATACAAAACTGATTTGATCACATAGCTATCGATATCCGATCAAAGTGATTTTTGATAGGCATATATTACTTGACGAGTTCTACACATTAAGCGGTTTGGATTATCAAAACAGGATCCGTGGTGAGCCCTCACAGGCTGAACAACACCGCCTAATCTGATTAAAGACTGGAGGCAAACTGCTCCCATGTATTAAAATCTCAACTCAATGTACGACATTCTTACTAAAATAAGTTCTTTTTTTTTTTGCCCCACAAAAAAAATGATATTTTGAGATGTTATTATAATATTCGTGGGCCCAGGCCTCGAGATAGCTGGTTGCGGGCCTGATTTAACCCAATCCATATAAAGGGACCCACCACCGAGACACCAGTAAAGCTCATCGACTACCCTAGTAAGGCCAAGTTTCAATCGGAGTACAGCACGAGATCTCTATGGAGAACCACTAAAAATTATCCAGTATTTTTGTAACAACCCTCATACTGTTTACCGACTTATGACTGATTGATTACCGATAACCATCGATTACCGTTAAACTGAATTGAATATGATCGATAATTGAATTGATTAAAGTACTGAACTGACTGACTGAAAACTGGAACTCGGATTCGAATGATACATCTGTTTGAATTGGCCTTTTATCTGTTACTGTTTGTTTGATCTAGTTCATGTTCATATGTTTAAACTGCTAATTTGAAGGGCCTTATCGTAGCGGAGCCGAATCCGAAATCGATAGTGTTCTATGATCCTAGAATTAATGTGATTTTAATGGTATATAATTAGTGATCTGAAACTGATTTGGCATGTTAAACTAGATTAACAATAAAGCTAATTAAAGAGTTTTGGTTTATTTCATATTGCCACCCTTAGTGGCACTACCTAGTGATGCTAGAAAGGCCTTGCATACTTGACTCAAAACATATCCCATCCAGCCATTTCTCATTGCAGCTTAGCGACCATCGAGAGGGAGAGAGTGAGAGAACTTGTCTTCCCCTTCGGTTTGGCTTGCTCAATTGAGAATTATTGTGTAAGGGATTGACATATTTGAGCTCCCTTCTTGAACTACAAGACTATAAGGTGGAATTCACCTTCTTATTGTGTGCCATGGAGCTAGTTTTGCATGATTTAATGCTCATTGGTAGATAAATCTATGTATTGGTCCATGTTGTTGAATTTGAAGCTTTATTGTTACATGCATGTACATAAATTGAAGTTTTGAGGTTTACTAAGTCATGTTTCCCACATGCATGTCCATAACTTTTGGTCATAACTCATGAACATTCTCATGTTCTTGAAGAAATGAGTCCATTTGAACAAGCTTTGAAGGTTGAATTTGGTTTGAATCCGGTTGATGCATGTTCTGCATGTTCTTCATATTTCTTGAAATGAGTTTTTGAATATGGTTTTTAATTGATCATCACCTTTGGGCTTGGATTCATAAATTTGAGCTTTGAACTCTGTTTACATTGAATTTAGTTTATGTTTTCCCAGAATTTGGGCCCCATGAGTCGAGTTGGGAGTGGATTAGTTGCTTGGTTTGAGCTTTGGACGGCATAATCTTGGAAAAATTCCAGATTTGGCTTCCTCGCTCGAGCGAAGGGTTCCCCGCTTGAGCAGCACTTTGTCAGGGCTCCGCTCGAAGCGATCCATCGAGCCGACCATCGCGCGCAAAATCTTAGCATCCAGTATTTTTTACTGTTTTGCAGACGCTTCGAGCGAAGGATTCCTCGCTCGAGCGAAGCCTTTGAATTTTTGGACTTACGTCTAGGCGGAGAAGCTCGCTCGAGCGAGGCTCCCTATTTTCAGCAAAGTTTGCGAAATTGTTTTCTAAGTGTTATTTTTGCATCCTTCATCGCAATCCTAGGCATATCTCTAGGCTAGATTATAAGACATTTAGATGAGGTATCGTTTGTAGAACACACAAGGAAATTAGGGATTTAAGTTATTGATATTTCCCAAACTGTGTAGCTTCAGTGTGTGTTCAACTGTGACTTGTTGTAGGGTTGGCAAACTGGGGAGACACGCTCTATGGCATACTGTAGCCCAGAAAACTCTGTGTGCAAGTAAACAATTGTATTGTAAAGATATGTTTCAATTTATATCTCTTTTGCATACTAAAACTGAACTGTTTTACTGAACTGGTTCTTACTGAACAATGAATGTATTGTCTTTATTTTTCTGAACAATAGATTACGTGTGGCCATCCTTAAGTACATGTGTTTACTGTTACTGTTACAGAAGATCCTCTGTCGGTTCCCTCGTTGGAACCCACTATGTTTACGACTGATGGCCATCATTTACTGTTCGGTCTTTTAAAGACCTACTGTTACTGTTATGCTAATGGATGTCCACATATGACTGTTTGCTGTACTGAACAACTTGAAAATACTGATTGAATTGAAACTGTTTTCATTACTGTAAGGACATTCATTTCTAACCCCTTTTACCTTTATGTTATTCACTGGGTTTAGTCAACTGCTCATATATTATATGTAGGTTTGTACAGCGCACCAATCGAGCTAGGAGCGTAAGAGGTAACTCCAGTTTGTCAAGCCAGCCTTTGTGCCTCATGCGAGGTTTTCCGAAGGTTTGTCCATGCTATGGCTTGGGGGTGTGTTTGTTGGTTGTTTTCCCTCGCCTGCTCCTTCATTACTGGTCTTAACCGGATTTTCTGTATAGACTGGAATGTTTTACCGTATGTCATCAAGGGATTAGGTCCCTGTATTGTGTGACTGTAAATTCTTATAGACCGTACTGTTTGTGTATGTATGAATGCCATGAAAAAATCTTTTTTGGACATTACAGACTGTCTAGCAGCTCATTTTGGACATTGTTTAAGTTACTATGTATTTAGGCTTTGTCCCCAGGTCCCTTTGATGTACTCTGTTTATACTGTATTACTGTGAAGGCCGGCCTTTCAGGTTAATCCTCGGATTACTGTGCCGGTGTTTTACACTTTTGCTAAACCATAGGGTCGGGTTTGGATCGTGACAGTGAAGTAGGTATCAGGAGCGATGGCTTAACCACGAGTTATACCGCCACCACAACGTGTCAATGAGCGTATTAGGGTGTCCTAGAAAAGTTATTAGGGCATGTTCAGAACTTGAAAAGTGTGTAGGGCTATGTTTATGACTTGAATTTACATGTTTGATGAGTACTGTCTAAATTATTGCAACTGTATATTGTACAACTGCTATAAACTGTTA